GGCTGGTCACCTCCCAGGCTGATCACCTCCCAGGCTGGTCACCTCCCAGGCTGATCACCTCCCAGGCTGATCACCTCCCAGGCTGGTCACCTCCCAGGCTGATCACCTCCCAGGCTGGTCACCTCCCAGGGTGAGGGTGACAGGCAGGAGCGCCCTGTTCTGAAACCGTGTTGTCCGGGGTTATGGAGATGCTGTGATTCCATGTATTTTGTGATCTTACTTCTTAGCACTCTCTCAAATATTTTTATGATGTGCGATGTTAGTGCTATCGGTCTGTAATTTTTTTGCCTCTGCCTTATTTCCTCCTTTATGGAGTGGTGCTATCTCTGTTGTTTTTAGTATGTCAGGGATAACGCCAGTATCTAGGCTTTGTCTCCACAGAATGTGAAGGCATACAGAAGATAAGGGTAACTGAACACCACAAAATGCTGAAGGATAACTTTATTAAAGTTGCATAATACGGTTATTGACATTCAATAATAGTAAGACAAAGCAATGAGGACCAAATGGGAGACCAGGGGTGGTGTGTGAGGCAGGTGGTGGAGTGTGAGGCAGGTGGTGAGGCAGGTGGTGGTGTGTGAGGCAGGGGGTGGTGTGTGAGGCAGGTGGTGGTGTGTGAGGCAGGTGGTGGCGTGTGAGGCAGGTGGTGGTGTGTGAGGCAGGTGGTGGTGTGTGAGGCAGGTGGTGGTGTGTGAGGCAGGGGGTGAGGCAGGTGGTGGTGGGGTACAGCATGAGGCGCCACACAGCACGTGGTGGTGGTGGTGGTGAGCCTGTGGTTGCCTCCCGCCTCACTAACGGCTCCACCACCATCTTGTAACACTCTCAAGGCTCAACCAAGAAAAAATATTCTCTATACAAAAATAAAGTTAAACCTTCTTTGTATCACAATGACAAAATATTAAAAGATCTGAACGCAATAAATAAAATATATATATATTTTTTTCCACATTTGTCCCTCCCCCACCCCAAAAAAAAAATCCAGCGCCAGCATCATGAAAGTGGCGCCGGTGGCGCCTTTAGACAACGTTAGAAACGACGACAAATTGGAAGCGGTTGGGCAGGACGGGGGAGAGTGAGGAGGCTGAACATGAGAGGACACAAGCGACGGTGGACAGGTGGGTCACAGACTGACAGTGTACCAGGTCTGGGGTAACACTGACAGGCCGCCTATGACTTACACAACACAACTATAGCGCCAACAGCAGGCCGGGTAGTAGTGGTGGACCTGGCCGTAGTTAACGGTGTACGAGGCCTTAATGACACTCACCAGAGGTAATGGCTCGTGATACCCGGATCAAAGTACCATATTAATCAGTGTAACACGGTCATTATTCAAAGAATTTCAGCATAAGGAAAACAAAGTGTATATAATATTATTGATACTAAAGATATACCACCACCACGCAGCCTCGGGCAAAACATTCCGCATCTCGCACTATTTTTATGTCGGATATTATTAGTAATTACTATTGTCTCCTGGTGGGGGGGAGGGGGGGGTGATCGTCCCCCCTCCCTCCCCCCCCCCTGACGGAGGCGTGACAAGTCTCAATCTCTGAAATCCAGGAAAATACGTATAAATATTTTCAGTCACGCAGCTCCTCCATGATGTTTATCACTTCCGGGCGACGGACCAACGCAAACCGGAAGCGTCATAACCGTCGCCCCCTTCCCCCTTCCAGAACCATTTTCTCCTCCAGAACCATGCCCGTCCCTCCCTCCCCGTCCCACACCTTGTGTCCTGCCCTCCCCACCACTATGTGGTGTGTCAGCACGGGGGCTCCGTTACCGACGGCTGCCACGGGTATCCCCCGTCATGCCCTGCGCTGCTCACCCAACCAAAAACAACAAAGAACGTCGCTTTTCGCTCGTACGCGTTACTAAGGTCAAAATTCGTCGTACTAGAAAATGGTAGTGGCTCTCGAAAGTGACGAACTGTTTCGTTTTCTGTTTTGGGTCGGGTGGCTTAGGCTTGGTTAGGACTAGAAGAGGACACTTTAAATTAACCGTTTTCTTGACGTTTTGAAACTTTAGGAGGACGCAGCTCCCCCAGACTACCTGACGCACTCGCACACAGACCGTTGATGCTACACTTACCTGCTGCCTCCCCCGTCACCTGCTGCCTCCCCCGTCACCTGCTGCCTCCCCCGTCACCTGCTGCCTCCCCCGTCACCTGCTGCCTCCCCCGTCACCCGCTGCCTCCCCCGTCACCTGCTGGGGACTTGTTCCCCAGCAGGTGACGGGGGAGGCAGCGGGCTACTACACCACCCCATCATTCCTCACCTGCATACGTAATATACCTCACCATCATACGTAATATACCTCACCATCATACGTAATATACCTCACCATCATAGGTAATATCACCATCATAGATAATATACCTCACCATCATAGATAATATACCTCACCATCATAGATAATATACCTCACCATCATAGGTAATATACCTCACCATCATAGGTAATATACCTCACCATCATAGGTAATATACCTCACCATCATAGATAATATACCTCACCATCATAGATAATATACCTCACCATCATAGGTAATATACCTCACCATCATAGGTAATATACCTCACCATCATAGGTAATATACCTCACCATCATAGGTAATATACCTCACCATCATAGGTAATATACCTCACCATCATAGATAATATACCTCACCATCATAGGTAATATACCTCACCATCATAGGTAATATACCTCACCATCATAGGTAATATACCTCACCATCATAGGTAATATACCTCACCATCATAGATAATACCATTGCTCACCATAAATACTTGGTCACCATATTTACAACACTCATCATATACCTGACTAATTTTTCTCTCTCATATCTACTACAATATATATATCTCACACACCCGCACGATGCAGCCCGTAGCAACTGTCTAACGCCAAGGTACGTATTTACTGTTAGGTGAACATGTGCATCAGATGTAAGAAACTCTGCCCCTTTGTTTCTACCTCGGCCAGGAATCGAACCCGGGCCCTGACGACTACGACCCCCCAAGCTCTGTCGTTGGGGCGTGAGTGTGTGTGAGAGTGAGCACTGGAGGCGAGAGAACAGACAGATAAGAGCAATTTTGCAATCTGGGCAATTTCAAAATAGCGCTGCCTTGTTTAATAGATAATAGTTCAGGAATGTGATGATGTGAACATTAACTACAGTAATTTGTGATATTTTGAGATAGGTTTAATGTTGCATGACGGAGCGAGCCTCGACCCATATATGTGTGTGCGGAGACGTGTGGTGAGGCGGACCTGTGTAGCCTTGACGCTGTGATCCTTTTTATTATTATTATTAACATCTTTATTGACAAAATTAATTACAATTTTGCCTAATCTGATGATTTTAATAGTCTTATTAAAGTGAGGATAATGGTGGTATTACTGTCACGCAGGACAGAGGGTCATACATAAGACAATAGGTCTAAACTGTAGGCTGAAGCACATATATATCATGGTTACAATCAATGTTTTAATGTATGGCTATGTGAAAACAACTTTCTATTGTGCACTGCCACACAAGGGCAGGGATGGGTTCATAAGTGATGCAGCTTAGAAGTAATATAAATAAAAATTGTTCTTCATTCTTTAAAATGGACAAGCAAATTTTGGATAAATTGTTAGGATGTCGTCCAGAACACCTGAGTCAATAAAATAGTTACACAGTTGGTGGTACAAGAGGCTAGGCGGTCTAAAGTCCTTTACGGTTTCACATTCATCAATATAGTGTTCTAGTGAATGCATTAAAGGTTTATCACAGAGTTTACAATCTGAGTATTCTAGTAGTGGCTCAGCCTCACTAACCTGCCAGATGTGTCTATAGCCAAGGCGAATTCGCGCAATGACTACATCACATTGCCTGGTTCGGTTACTGTGCTGACCATACAAATACCTATTATTACAAAACTTGTCATAACTTTTAATACTGCAGCTTTCAGATCTCTGGGCATTTCTTAGTTCTTCTAAATCTGAATTAATTTCTTTAATTTGTATGTGTCTAATAATTGCATTAGACAGTCCAAAGTCATAATCAATGTTTTCTTTCCTGCAAGCCTAATTGGCCAATTGATCTACAAAGTCATGTTTTCCAACTCCAACATGGGATAGGATCCACACAAATTTTATACAATAGTTATTATCATTGGCAAAAATTACATTCCATTTAATATTACAAGCTACTTCAGACATACATTGTGATGGGTTATTTAAGGACTGCAGAGCACTTTTAGAGTCACAGAATATCACTCCACCACCATTGAGCTTAAGGTATTCAGTAGCTAGATAAATGCCCAATAGCTCGGTCTGTGTCGTGCTTGCCCAGTTGTTCAATCTCTGTGTACTAGTCATGATCATTTCATTCCCTTTATATACTGCACATGCACAACCTGTTCTACCAGTGCCTAACTGCACAGAGCCATCAGTAAAGGCATAGGATTCAGTCGGTTTGAGAATTTGAAGATGACTGTCAATAGCTTCTAATGTTATACATCTCAAAATGTCAGTGTTATACAATTGTTTTACACTGATGGGAGTATAATGCAGAGAGACCTCCACATCTTTCCAAGGGGGAATATAGTGAACAGTTTTATCAGGGTTAAGAGACACATTCAGTTTCTGAAGATTATAGGCACAACAACTGAGCCACACACTGTAGGGAGCTTTTTGCGGCGGATTGAGGGAACAGTCAGAATTGTTTAGAATGGATCTCAATTTAATTTGAATAGAGCTGGGGAGGCCATTATTTTTCAAAGTTTTGGCGCAAAACATAGTACTAAGTAGAACTAATAATGAATGAAGGAGTTCAGCGTGGAGGGAGGTAGGTGGAGCTGCTCCAGCACCAGCTCCCAACTCTGCCAGAGGTGTTCATGGACCTGGATGCTAGGTCCCTCACACGCCTCACCTTCCTCAGTGGTCACACCCACACTCCTCACACATCACCTCTCACACTCCTCACACGATAGTCCCAGCCTCAAGTGTGCCGGCTGGGCAGTGCATCTTGAGACGTGGTGGGGAGAGGTTGTGCAGCTCTCCGGCTGGTGTTCGGCGTGGTCGTGTTGTGGTCGCTCCTCCACGGCTGCCTCACACTAACACTATCAACGACCCAACACACGCCACACATTTTACCAGCTCATAACGTGTCTGAGATGAGAGTCGTCTTCAGAGTGAATATACGAGAGGTGGATGTAATATCTGAGTTGGAGATGTGATCAAAGAGGAAGTATTAGTGTGAGCCAGAGTGCCTTAACCCACCAGGACCTTAACACGGTAAGTCCCCCCCAGGACACATGGAGTTCTTGATATGCATTACCATAACTGATAATTAGACTATCTTCTTCTTGAGGTTATCTTGAGACGATTTCGGGACTAGGAACGTACTGTATCACCAGGGGGTGTGGACACTTGTATCACCAGGGGGTGTGGACACTTGTATCACCAGGGGTGTGGACACTTGTATCACCAGGGGTGTGGACACTTGTATCACCAGGGGTGTGGACACGTGTATCACCAGGGGTGTGGACACGTGTATCACCAGGGGTGTGGACACTTGTATCACCAGGGGTGTGGACACTTGTATCACCAGGGGTGTGGACACGTGTATCACCAGGGGTGTGGACACTTGTATCACCAGGGGGTGTGGACACGTGTATCACCAGGGGGTGTGGACACTTGTATCACCAGGGGTGTGGACACTTGTATCACCAGGGGTGTGGACACGTGTATCACCAGGGGGTGTGGACACTTGTATCACCAGGGGTGTGGACACTTGTATCACCAGGGGTGTGGACACGTGTATCACCAGGGGTGTGGACACTTGTATCACCAGGGGTGTGGACACGTGTATCACCAGGGGTGTGGACACTTGTACCAGGGGTGTGGACACTTGTATCACCAGGGGTGTGGACACGTGTATCACCAGGGGTGTGGACACGTGTATCACCAGGGGTGTGGACACGTGTATCACCAGGGGTGTGGACACGTGTATCACCCACGTGGGGTGTGGACACGTGTATCACAGGGGTGTGGACACGTGTATCACCAGGGGTGTGGACACTTGTATCACCAGGGGTGTAGACACTTGTATCCCCAGGGGTGTGGACACGTGTATCACCAGGGGTGTGGACACTTGTATCACCAGGGGTGTGGACACTTGTATCACCAGGGGTGTGGACACGTGTATCACCAGGGGTGTGGACACGTGTATCACCAGGGGTGTGGACACTTGTATCACCAGGGGTGTGGACACTTGTATCACCAGGGGTGTGGACACTTGTATCACCAGGGGTGTGGACACTTGTATCACCAGGGGTGTGGACACTTGTATCACCAGGGGTGTGGACACTTGTATCACCAGGGGTGTGGACACGTGTATCACCAGGGGTGTGGACACGTGTATCACCAGGGGTGTGGACACTTGTATCACCAGGGGTGTGGACACGTGTATCACCAGGGGTGTGGACACTTGTATCACCAGGGGTGTGGACACGTGTATCACCAGGGGTGTGGACACGTGTATCACCAGGGGTGTGGACACGTGTATCACCAGGGGTGTGGACACTTGTATCACCAGGGATGTGGACACGTGTATCACCAGGGGTGTGGACACTTGTATCACCAGGGGGTGTGGACACGTGTATCACCAGGGATGTGGACACTTGTATCACCAGGGGTGTGGACACTTGTATCACCAGGGGGTGTGGACACGTGTATCACCAGGGGGTGTGGACACTTGTATCACCAGGGGTGTGTGGACACTTGTATCACCAGGGGTGTGGACACTTGTATCACCAGGGGGTGTGGACACTTGTATCACCAAGGGGTGTGGACACTTGTATCACCAGGGGGTGTGGACACTTGTATCACCAGGGTTTGTGGACACTTGTATCACCAGGGGTGTGTGGACACTTGTATCACCAGGGGTGTGTGGACACTTATATCACCAGTGGGTGTGGACACGTGTATCACTAGGGGTGTGGACACTTGTATCACCAGGGGGTGTGGACACTTGTATCACCAGGGGTGTGTGGACACTTGTACCACCAGGGGTGTGTGGACACGTGTATCACCAGGGGTGTGGACACGTGTATCACGAGTGGCAGCCGTTACTGTCCAGTATCTCGGGGTTAGCGTGGAGGGGGACACATGTATCACCAGGGGGTGTGGACACTTGTATGGGCACGTGTGGACACTTGTATACAGGGCTTGTACACATAGGTGTACTCACCGCTGAGGTCGGCCTCAGACGTAAGGCACGACTATGATTTACTTATGCTTGGTATAGTTGTTTTCATGTAGCCCAAGTGTAGAGGTGTGTACTGGCGGGGGTGTAGCGTGTGCTGGGTCCGTCCGCCTACACCTGGGGGTGATGACTTACGAGTGGGACCGGTCATGTGGCTTGTGGGGGGGGGAGGGAGGGGGTTGTGGGGAAGGTTCACAAGGTAAGCGGGCCGCCCCCGCACTGTCTGACCCGTGTCTACCTGTACCTTTATTATCTCTCCTTCCCACCACGCACGCAAACACGCTCTCATGTCAACACACAACGCACAAACACGCTCTCATGTCAACACACAACGCACAAACACGCCCTCATGTCAACACAACGCACAAACACGCTCTCATGTCAACACACAACGCACAAACACGCCCTCATGTCAACACAACGCACAAACACGCCCTCATGTCAACACATAACGCACAAACACGCCCTCATGTCAACACAGGTCAGGGCGTGTTTGTGTGCTTGTACTCAACTAGGTGAGTACAAGCACACAAACACGTCCTCATTATGTGCCGTTTTTGTAACTCAAAAGTGGTGCCAGCCGACGGCTAAATCATACCTCAATTTAGCCTAGTAGGCCTAGGCTACATGGTAATTTCAAGGCACGTTAGTCTCCTAGCCGCGCCTAGGCCTCTCAGTTTTATGTGAAGCTTTAGGCACACTGTTTACAACACGTTTGGACCCATTTTCTTTGAGTAATTGGGTATATTGGACATATATTAAGACGCGATATCAGCTGCTTTGTCTATTGTTATTGAAACTGAGTATCATTGTTTATATCTTTGAGCTGAGGACAAGGTAGTGTATAACCTTTACCTTGTAGAGTTAGGGACGTAGTCTTGTGAGGGCACGGTGCGCCGAAACAACCGTGGACATCTTCAAGAGGAAACTAGATTTATTCCTCCAAGGAGTGCCGGACCAACCGGGCTGTGGTGAGTATGTGGGCCTGCGGGCCGCTCCAAGCAACAGCCTGGTGGACCAAACTCTCACAAGTCAAGCCTGGCCTCGGGCCGGGCTTGGGGAGTAGAACAACTCCCAGAACCCTATCAACCAGGTACACAGGAAAACGTACTGAACGGGGCGTACTGAAAACCCCAACAAGCACGTGGCTGTATGGCTGGTAACAGTGCTGTAGCAAACCACACTTGGGAAAAGGATCACATTATTGATTTTAAGAAGTATGACATAATCTATGAAAGTAATAATATTAGAACTAGAAGGGTAGTTGAAGGGGCTCTAGTTAACACTGAATACTTTCCCTGCTGACAGCACCTTTACTTCCAAGGATAGTTTACAAGAAAAATTATTCTGAGTGAATTATAATTAGATTTGAATAAATGGATGAATGTAAATAGTCTTAAAAGACGCTCTCCTTGAGGTATGGTGGGAGTTACGAGCATCCAGTCTGATATCTTTATTGATAACAACTCCAGTGATCAGACTCCCGGGATGACAGGAAAGATAACTGGCCATAATTCCACGGAAGACATCCCCTCGAGCACATTGGCAGTCGGGAATAGAGGTGCCATGGTCAGGAAATTGAAATTGAAATAAGTTTATTGAGGTAAAATACACACAAAGGGATGAGGTAGCTCAAGCTATTCTCATCCCATTCAGTACAACGTGTTAATATATACATAGACACACATCACAAATAAACATATTGCCAAACATTCTGAGAGGTAAACATATACATTTCCTCCTTCACAAGTAGTATGTTATCAGACGTACACACAATACTTTTATGACCTAGGTATACTGTATAGACAATTTATGGTCAGGAGGTTAGCAAAAGATGAGGGGACAGCCCCTTGTTAGAGTTATATATAGAGTTACAGCCCCGCTCCCGTGCCAGGTAAGTCCACTACGGGCTCACCATAGCCCGTGCTACTGGCAACTTTTTGTTCCCAGTAGCTGAATCTTAAACAAACAATGATAAAGTTATCATGATGTGAGCAGCGGGATGCTGGGAGCTGGCACATTGGGCGGAGACTCCTGGTTGATACCTGGTTGATTATATATATATAATACCTAATATATACCTGGTTGAATATACTCGTGTATATTGGTAATGTGTCTGTGTTGGGTAGAGTGCTGTGGTGGACAGAGAGCACAGCACTGTGCGAGCAGGAGGGTGTTGCTCCGAGCACAGCACCCTCCTGCACTCCCGGGGACGACACGGAACCTGTTACCACAGAAGCAGTGGCTGGCAAGTGCTTGACCAATATAACTGTTGTGGCAGAGTATTGCGTGTGGTGTGGGATCTCAAGACATAGCTCTTCTACCCACGTCTGCACATGTGCTTACCACAAGTTCACACGCACTCGCTCACCACTGGCAAACACACTCAAGTGACACGCACTCGAAACCTAAATTGCAGACAAAGGTATTCCCAGGTGGGGGAAGGGAAGGACCCAAAAGATGAATGTGGCAACAGTAAGCAGCAGAAAGCCCTTCACTCTTGTGCCCCCTCGCCGTTGTGGTGGAGGTGGGCAGGTGAAGGCCGTGCCCACACCGCCCCCCTCTCCGCACATTACTAAGGCCGCAGGAATGCTATACACCTCGCAGCCATCACAAGTATGGAATGTGAGCCTAGGCCAGAGGCTGAGGCTTGCTGGTTCCACCAACAGTCCTGCCTACACCTGGCACCAGTCCCATCACGCTCTCACTCCACCAAGTTGAAGACACCAACTTGACCCCACATTATTGGTCCACGCATATTCCACTGAAATCAACGATACTTCTTACGGAAGATCATTTTATCATGATATTACCTCTTTGAAGATGGGTAATGATGGGGCCTTGTGTTTACAGTGTTCAGTATGAGTGTGTGTGCTTGCCAGCCTGCCTAAGGCCTCAGCACTGCATCTCGATGTTCTTGAACACATATACGGATACCTGGTTGATGGGGTTCTGGGAGTTCTTCTGCTCCCCAAGCCCGGCCCGGGGCCAGGCTTGACTTGTGAGAGTTTATGGATGTGTTAATTGTATTTAGAGAGGTGTTGGGGCCTTGGTTCCTTAATATTTGTTGATTTGTGTGTCGGCGCACTTAGGCCCATTGCACAACTACTTTGTAATGGAGGGAAGGGAACTATCAGGGGGGAAAAGCGCCAAGCCATTACGACTATATAGCACTGGGAAGGGGTCAGGATAAGGATTTGGGATGGGACCAGGGGGGGGAGGGGAATGGTGCCCAACCACTTGGACGGTCGGGGATTGAATGCCGACCTGCATGAAGCGAGACCGTCGCTCTACCGTCCAGCCCAAGTGGTTTGTAATGGGGCTTTTTCACACATTGTGCCATGCCTCCTGGACTCCCGGGGAATTATTTAGTGTTTTTGAGGTGTAAATTATAATGTATGTCTAACCTGTCTGGAAGAAGGTTAGTGAGCGACGGGTGTCTGGCGGCACCCTCACCCTCCACGCAATAGGGGCGAGATTAAGGCATAAGTCTCCAGGAGGAACAGAATAAGGGGGGGGAGGAGGGGGGCGAAAATGGCCAGATGTGGATAAGAGGGAGGCGGTGGGCCGGCCTCCGGGGGCTCCACACTTTGATATAAACCCTGAACCCCCAGAAGTAATGGTAGTGTAGTACACCACGGGACGTTGATTGGACGGGTTGAAGTATTTCCTTGTCCTCAAGAGCCAGCCATGCCTCAGGACGCCCCAGTACCTGTACTGGTGGTGTCTACCTTCCAGGAAAGGTGACCACCGGCCCAGGAGCGGTGCCCACAAGTTGGTGTGATTTATTAACTCTTGATATTTCTTAACTTCACATGTTTAGACGCCCCTGCATTTTTGAGACGGATTTATTACTGCGCACTAAAAGCCTTATTTAAAGTTGATAAAAGCCTTATTTAAAGTTGATAAAAGCCTTATTTAAAGTTGATAAAAGCCTTATTTAAAGTTGATGAAATAAACTTGCGGACTTAAGGAACAAACTTGGAAAATGGACTTGGAACTGGTACCAATTGTGCAAGGGAATTATATTTAATACGACAGAGTGTTCTCTTCATATTTTCTTGGCGAACAATTTAGCTCTCCTGAAAGTGAGTTAATATACAACAATACTCCACTCTAAATTGTAAATGTTAAATAGTATATTGGCTTGGTCTCTCTAGTTGGAGGACTCTTTGGTCTCTATAGCATCTCAGCTTGTGGCTGTGAGAGGTAAGATGGCTCTCCTACACCTGGTGAACACCTTGGGGGTGTGCTATCTTCTTGAGGTTATCTTGAGATGATTTCGGGGCTTTTTAGTGTCCCCGCGGCCCGGTCCTCGACCAGGCCTCCACCCCCAGGAAGCAGCCCGTGACAGCTGACTAACACCCAGGTACCTATTTTTTACTGCTCGGTAACAGGGGCATAGGGTGAAAGAAACTCTGCCCATTGTTTCTCGCCAGCGCCTGGGATCGAACCCAGGACCACACGATCATAAGTCCAGTGTGCTGTCCGCTTGGCCGACCGGCTCTGCTGGTAAGAGACCTGGCACGCTGACGCGGCTGACCATGTCCCCTACCAGGGAGCCGCCAGCACGGTACTTGTCGCTGGTGTGAAGGACGATAAGCTCTGTTAAACTCATTTGCATATTTCCCACGATCCACCTTGGTTCCCGCGATGTGGGGGAGAGGGGGGGGGGGCTGGTGGGCCGGGCTTCTTAAAGGGGGGTGGGGGGTGGAGCAGGGCGGGGTTGTGAGAGGGGCGAGGGGGGAGGGAGAAATGGCGGGTGTTGGTGTGAGGCGATACGTTATTATTGCGTGTAAGGGCACAACCGGTGGCAACAACTTTAAACGCAACAACTTTCCCATAGATAACCTGATCACTTCACACTTACCTCCTGTGACGCTCATGGCACAAGCTGTCCTGTACGAACTGTGCGCGACCACATAACTTGGCAGCAGCAGTAGCGACGTAACCGCTTCTCCACCACTGGACCTGGAGAACACACCTGTTGCTGGACTCTGCTGCACAGTAAAGTACACTTGGTATCACAGTTCGTATATTATGAAACTGGTTCCCCGTGATGTTGCTCGTATATATTGGCATACGCGAGTATACAACTGCGAATACACGAGTAAATAATGTACTCTTCCATGTGATGGACACAGTGTAATGTAAACTATCTTGATTTAGATGTTGTAGGCCTACACAGAGGACAACAAAGAAATTAGTGAAATTCTAAGAAGCCAGTATGAGGCTATGTTTAGCACACCAATAAACAACATGAAAGTTGATGACCCAGACAGCTTCTTTATGTATGACATCTGGCAGGTTAGTGATGCTGAGCCACTACCAGAATACTCAGATTGCAAACGCTGTGATAAACCTTTAATGCATTCACTAGAACACTATATTGTTGAATGTGAAACCGTAAAGGACTTTCGACCTCCTGGCCTATTGTACCACCAACTGTGTAACTATTTTATTGACTCAGGTGTTCTGGACGACATCCTAACAATTTATCCAAAATTTGCTTGTCCATTTTAAAGAATGAAGAACAATTTTTATTTATATTACTTCTAAGCTGCATCACTTATGAACCCATCCCTGCCCTTGTGTGGCAGTGCACAGTAGAAAGTTGTTTTCACATATCCATACATTAAAACATTGATTGTAACCATGATATATATGTGCTTCAGCCTACAGTTTAGACCTATTGTCTTATGTATGACCCTCTGTCCTGCGTGACAGTAATACCAGCATTATCCTCACTTTAATAAGACATATTCGAAATCCTCAGATTAGGCGAAATTGTAATTAATTTTGTCAATAAAGATGTTAATAATAATAAAGGTGATACAGATGAGGAGGAAAACCTCTAAGGCAGACACGAAGCTAGGATGGTGGTGGTGGGAGGCACGAGGCTAGGATGGTGGTGGTGGGAGGCACGAGGCTAGGATGGTGGTGGTGGGAGGCACGAGGCTAGGATGGTGGTGGTGGGAGGCACGAGGCTAGGATGGTGGTGGGAGGCACGAGGCTAGGATGGTGGTGGTGGGAGGCACGAGGCTAGGATGGTGGTGGATGGTGGTGGTAGGAGACAGGGCAGCGCTGACGAAGCCACACAGATGCTATCCGACTATCCACTTACCTAGAATGTGTTGTGCTGTGAAGGGTTGGGTGTTACCTATTTGTACTTGATAAGTTTTCGATCTCTTGACTATCAAGTTCTTTGTTTGTGTCGTGGCTGCGGATGGAGGTTGACAAGTACTATATTTAGTGCATTCTAATTGTTGGCCTTCCTAAGTGCATCCAAGTATTTCCTTACCCCTCATATATTTATACCTGTGACTTGCACCCATATTATTGTGTCTTATTATTCCTCAATAAATAAATGCTGTCGTTAGTATTTTGCATGTTGTGATCAAGTCTCCCTTGGTTATTATGTTATCTTAATCTATCTTCTTCACTTTGTTTCAAGAAATTTGGAGTGTATATTAGTTCTGCGTATTGTAGAACTGGTTTTTCATAGGCCGTGTATATTTGTCTTGAAAAAGCCTTTTTCACGTTTTGAAACATGAATGTTCTTATGAATGCCAGTTTCTCTTCTGTTGTGCTAAGTAATGATTACCAGTCCTCTCACCCAATGAATCAAATTTTTAACCGAATCGATCAATGCGTAGCTTTAGTAATATTTAAAACACCGTAATATTGACGATTTTTTAGCATCAGCCTCGACTGGTTAGGCTGGTGCTTAGGTTTGAAGGTTTCTGGTTTCTGGAGCCCTTTGCACCACCGCCCACGGGATGGGTATGGGGAGCATAATAAAGACATTGAGTTAGCTTAGGGAACCAGTATCCTCCCCTCCTTTTATATCATTCAACACCGCTCCTGTGCCAGGTAAGTCCACTACGGGCTCACCATAGCCCGTGCTACTTGCCCTGCTCCTGTGTCAGGTAAGTTACGGGCTCACCATAGCCCGTGCTACTTGGAACTTTTTGTTCCCAGTAGCTGAATCTATAACAACAACATCATCCCCGCCTGATAACTTTACATTATTTATAACCATGTAGGAACTCTGCCCATCACTTGTATTAAGAGAAGTTGACTGAGAGCCTGGGACCCCGTACGGAGTGTCCGCCTGCTGTACTGGAGCTTTGTTGTTGTTGTTGTTTAAGATTCAGCTACTGGGAACAAAAAGTTGCAAGTAGCACGGGCTATGGTGAGCCCGTAGTGGACTTACCTGGCACAGGAGCGGGGCTGTAACTTGTACTGGAGCTGGTCTTGTGCGTTTATATGGTCTCTGGCATGTGTTAGTGTGTCCGGCTAGCAGGTATATCCGGCCTGATAACATTATGAGGCGTGTAGGAAGTGAACTGACTTATGGTTTCTTCCCCAGAGGCGCGCGAGGCGGCAGCCTTGAGGTCACCAGGATGAGACTCCGCCCACTGCCCTAGTGACGCCCCGCCCACTGCCCTGGTGACGCCCCGCCCACCAAGCTGCCACCCCGCCGACCCAGGCGAGGGCGGCGCCCACGGTATGGTGAAGCAGTGCCAGCGCCCACGCCCACGCCTCTAATGCCCCCAGGCCCCCGGGACGCCTCTATGCTCAAACACATGCTGACTGTGGCTGGAAGACAGGCACACGGGGCCGGGCCGGGCAGGGGCAACACCCATGCTACTGACACACTGGAGGGGCGGCGCTCCCTCGGGGGCGGGGCCACGCAGCCACCTGGTGGGGCCACTCTCCAGCAGCACCACTACCAGCAGCAGCAGCAGCACCAGCTGCACCACCACGCCGTCTCCCCGGGCACCCTCAGTGTCAAGGTGAACGGGGCGGCGGGCGGGCGCCATCACCCGGCGCTCAACATGAGCTCACTCTCCTCCTCGAAGCACTCGGTGGGCGGGAACTCTGGGTCTGGGAGTCCCGGGACCACCACGGTGACGCGGACCACTGGTCTCGACCAGTCCCGGGACCACTCCCACCTCACCGACCTCTCCCACATCTCCCACCTCTCTCCCATCCCCCACGCGGACCTCTCCAAGGGCACCATCGGCAGCAAGCGGTCGGCGGGGCTCATCCCTCGCTTCATCACCCTCACCAGGTCCACGGGGTCCCGGGGGGCGCTGACCTCCCTGGGGCTCCTGAGCCTCACCTCCCTCCTGCTGGCGCTCCTGGCGCTCACCTTCCTGGTGGAGCTCACGCCGCTCGCCCTCGACGCCGACAGCGTGCAGGAGGTCACGCTCGCCCTCGCCGCCCTCACACTCTCCCTCGACCTCAGCTGCCTTCTCATATGCGCCGCTCAGTTCATCTTCGCCATCAAGCTCGCTAAGTCTCCCAACGGCGAGGAAAGGTTAGTACACTTCTCTTTTATTACCTTAAGTGTAGTTACAGGACGAGAGCTACGCTCGTGGTGTTTAAAGTGTCCTCTTATAACCTCTGCGCGTACGCCGGACGACTCAAACAGAAAACGGAACAGAACGTCACTTTTGTGAGTGGATTTCATTTCAAATTACGTCCAAATTTGGCCATAGTGCGCATACCAACCAAAAGTGACGTTCTTTTTAAGAGGACGGGTTGCGTGGTGTCCCGTCTTCCCAGCACTCTTTGTCATATAACGCTTGGAGACTATTGACGGTCTTGGCCTCCACCACCACCTACCTTAACTTGTTCCAACCGTCTACCACTCTGTTTGCGAAAGTGAATTTTCGCCTTTGTTTAGTTAGAATAAATCTATGACCTCTTGTTCTTCAAGCTCCGGGTCTCAGAAATTCTTCCCTATCAATTTTGTCGATTCCCGTAACTATTTTGTACGTAGTGATCATATCGCCTCTTTTTCTTCTATCTTCTAGTTTCGGCATATTTAATGCCTCTTAACCTCTCCTCGTTGCTCTTGTCTTTCAGTTCCGGGAGCCACTTAGTGGCATGTCTTTGCACTTGTTCCAGTGTGTTGATGTGCTTCTTAAGATACGCCAGCATACAACTGCTGCATATTCCTACTTTGGTCTCATAAAGGTCTTTAGTATTTCACCAGAAATAAAAATTATTTATTTTGTCGGGAATAAGCAGCAATATCGAAGTCCCCCCCCCTCCTCCCCTCCCCCCATCCCCCTCCTCCCCGTCCAACTACTGACCTTCACCAGGTCAGTGAGTCACCAGTGTCACCAGCACCTCCCGGGTGCCTATTTACTTCTTGGTGAACAGAAATTAGGGAAAATAGATGACAGGGTGATTAATTTCTGGAACAAATGTTTTATCTTCAAGATAAAACTAGATAGTTTTCTTCAAGTGCCGGACCAACCGGGCTGTGGTGGGTATGTGGGCCTGCGGGCCGCTCCAAGCAACAGCCTGGTGGACCAAACTCTCACAAGTCAAGCCTGGCCTCGGGCTGGGCTTGGGGAGTAGAAGAATTAGTTGTTACAAGAATGTAACAACTCTTGTATATATCTCAAAAAAAAACTCCCAGAACCCCATCCAGATACAATCCAAGAAACATGCCCAACCATTTTTCTCCCGTCCGGAACTCGAGCCTAAGATTTAGAGTCGAAAACAAACTTAAACTACTGAAAAAGAGAACAAACGGCTTATTCGACCTTCGGACAGTGAGGCCCCAGAGGACTCCCACACACTTTTGCTACTGTATCCCCCCCCCTCCCCCCAAAAAATATATATTATAAAACAAATGCTTTCCTGTTATCTGTATTCGATCAAATAGATCTCGTCTTTCATCCTCAAGCCTGGCTGCTTACCCAGCTGCTCTCCTAAACAACAAGAAAAGAAAGATTAGTTTCCGGAATCGATCCGGAAATCACCTCGATCTGTTTAAGAGATATCTCTCGTTATCTAATCGAAGGACAAACACAAAAAGAAATGGTGCACACACTTGGACGGTCGGGGATTGAACACCGACCTGCAAGAAACAAGACCGTCGCTCTACCACCGAAGGCAGGTGTTGCCAGGACACGTATTTTTTGCAGAATTCAAGAACAATATTGACTTGTACAAGAAAGAGGAATAATAATAACCTAATAACTTTTTTTTTCAGGGATATTCCTGCGAGGGCCCTAAGTCTCTGGCTGGCCCACTAAGTGTTGCTTGTTTCTGTTTTACTTGGGCGGAGTATGAGTATTTATTACTCGTATGGTCGCTTCAGTAAGATTTTTGTCCCATGTGTTTAACAACTTCTTCTGCTCCGTTGAATCAAAGTTGAAATCTTATTGGGTTTGTAACTGCACTGTGCTAGATAATGTTCCAGGTCTCCACAGCGCTGAAAACCTAATAACGATCAGTATCATTATACTTTATAACAAAAACGACAATGCCCATTATGAAATAATAATGAATAAACAAAAGACTAAACAAACCAAAGAAATTGTTACAATACTAACGATGTTTTTTTTTTTTGAGATATATACAAGAGTTGTTACATTCTTGTAGAGCCACTAGTACGCGTAGCGTTTCGGGCAAGTCCTTAATCCTATGGTCCCTGGAATACGACCCCCACCGCGAAGAATCGTTTTTTCATCCAAGCACACATTTTACTGTTGCGTTAAACAGAGGCTACAGTTAAGGAATTGCGCCCAGTAAATCCTCCCTGGCCAGGATACGAACCCAGGACATAGCGCTCGCGGAACGCCAGGCGAGTGTCTTACCACTACACCACGGAGACTGCAACAGAACGTACATCTGTACAGAACACGTTGTATGGTCGCAAGAAACTGCTTGACAAATTGTATAGCATTACTTACAGTCTGAGTGATGGCATAGTGGCAACGAAAGTTAATAATACAAGAATTTATTGAAATATGAGACTTACGTTGACTAAATATAACATCAAAATTAGAAATTTTCACAGCCTTTGCGTTACAAAAGACATACAGGAGAACACTGTGCTTGTAAGACATGCATGTGGAAATGGAGGAAGAGTTTAACATTGTGGGCAGACGCAAGGGCTAGTCTGGATAACACACACTTCAAACATATCCTCTACACTTCTTATTTCTTTAAGTGTAGGCGAGGACATGAAGTGAGGCAAGAGTGCGAGGATGGAAGCCTAAGATACGTCTTCCACATTTCCTGTACTCACAGTTTAGCCTAACACGGTGAGCGTCGCACAGCTCCCATAGTTCACAACTATACAAACCAAGACATTGGCCCAGATAATTTCACTTTCGGCCCGATATCAAGTTGCACAGATTCACTCATAATTTATCTTGACTTTTAGCGTAAAAAAATACAAGCAGGCTCTTTGGATGATATTTTTAGATCAATGAACCAGATATATTTCAGAATATTTTACTGGATTCTCTCTGCCTAGTTCTAGTAGTTTCTGGTTGAAGATCCGGATAAAATGAGTCATGCGAGTTAAAAACAACTAGGGTTGTACGTGAGGTGGTGATAAGCACACAGTTGCCACCTCACACAACAGTGTGGGAGCGTGTGAACCAAACACTCCTCCGCACACGCACCGATCCTGTGCCAGGTAAGTCCACTACGGGCTCACCATAGCCCGTGCTACTTGCCCCGCTCCTGTACCAGGTACGCTACCGGCTCTCCATAGCCCGTGCTACTAGGAAGTTGTTCCGAGTAGCTGAATCTATAACAACAACAGATACTCCTCCAGTGCCACTAGTATTGTAGTCTAGGCTAGGCTAGCTGGGGTGAGGAGGGCGTGTAGTGGGCACATAGCCACGAGGCGGTGTAGGGCTGCCTGACCCACAGTAGCGGCGGCCCGACGGTCTAGCGTGAGCGGCCACTAGCAGTAACGGGACCCCGCACACATTCTTGCCCAAGAAAACTTTGCGCCCGGCTTACCGCCTCGTATTACATCTATCCTTAATGCTTTTCACACATGTCGTCCATTGTTATCGCCTTCATATATATTTGTTACATTTGGTTTAATAAGGAAGGGGGTTACTGGGGGACGAGGTTGCCGATACGAGCAATAGTTGTGGGAGTTTTGACCCGTGCGCCCCGCCAGGTATAGTGGCGGTGGACTCCCGCCCCGCCAGATTCCTCCGTCTGCACCTGCTACATAAAAACTCTCTACCCCAGCACTTACACTCCCCTCCCTGCCTGGCCCCGGCACCACACTATCTGCAACAGGTGTTTTGAATTGATCTCCATATGACTTACAAAGGGTTGGTACTAAGTGCAGTAGACGAATACATCAATCTTCATTCATTACTTACAATTGTTATCTATAAGAAATATCCTCACCGTGACGAGTGATACTGCTTCAAAATAATTATATAATACCTAAACTTTCTTTTAATAACTTCTTTATATTTAATTTATTTTTAAGTAAATGAAGATATCCATTAAAACAAGGGCTGGTAACTGGCTGTCATCTGGAGGGTAGAAATAGCCTAAGCTACTCTAACCGTTTGAGATGTATGTTATGGTCTCAATAAACGTGCTTGAACTTAAATTAAACTGGCTGTCACATGAAGGAGCTTACTTACACACCATGAATGCCTAAGGTACATGGATATAAGTATATATGCATAATACTTATCCGTATAAGTAATACATGGATAACTATTCTAAGATACTCGCTTATTTACTTACTCACACCATGGAAATGTAGTAACTTTGTAAATGTAGTAAATGTAGAAATTTTGTAGTAACAATTTACTACAAAACCACCTAAATTATTGGGATCGTTTCAAAGCTCTCCAAATGTACTCACTAGAAAGGAGAAGAGAGAGAGATATCAATTAATATACACGTGGAAAATACTGGAGGGCTAGGTCCCAGATCTACACAGTAAAATAACAATGTACTGGAGTGAACAATATGGAAGAAAATGCAGAATAGAACCAGTGAAGAGCAGGGGGTGCCATAGGTACAATCAGAGAACACTGTATAAACATCAGAGGTCCACGGTTGTTCAACATCCTCCCAGCAAGCATAAGAAATATTGCTGGAACAACCGTGGACATCTTCAAGAGGAAACTAGATAGTTTCCTCCAAGGAATGCTGGACCAACCAGGCTGTGGTGGGTATGTGGGCCTGCGGGCTGCTGCAAGCAACAGCCTAGTGGACCAAACTCTCACAAAGTCAAGCCTGGCCTCGGGCTGGGCTTGGGGAGTAGAACTCCTAGAACCCTATCAAGCAGGCATCATATGCTTCAGAAATTAGTTTTTCTATTCCTTGTGTAGAATTTTTATTACTTTGGCATCCTGTAACCACACTTAGGTAATTACACACACAAAGATACCCATATCATGCATCCACTCACATGTCGCATACGTGTTTTGTAAGGGTCAACACAGGTCACGTGTGGATTTGAGCAAAGTTCAGCTTCTCTTGATGGTTCTTTGTCCTTTTAGTTACAATAATTTCTTTTATTGTGGAAGCACACACTGTGCAGTAATATAGTGCACATTTGTTTATTGCAAAGTCAAAAGTATTGTTGTCGTGGAATAGATTATATAATACATGTATAATGTTACATCAAATAACAAATCTTGTTTTCCTTGGCAGAATGAGCAAGTACTTGCGCCAGTCCTCGGTGTCCAGAGTATGTGCTGTGGGAGGCTTCTTCATTTCAGTACCTGTATTTCTCACAGGTATGTCAAACTCTGGTACTGTTACATCTGATATATAATAATTTACTTGATATTCAGTTTTTACATATAATTATGAACTATACTGAATTATAATTGTACTTGTATATAATACAGTATAATGATGAATTATACTGTGCTTTTTCTAACTTTGAGGAACTTCAATGCATAAAACAGCAAAAAACTGATTGTTTATAAATGATTTCAAGCAGTCACATGTTAAACAACAAACATTGAACATGAATCACACTAATGATGCAGAAGATCTGAATGAATAGTATGGAAGAACAGTCATGATGAACTATTCACACTACTGTAATCAATTTATCCCAGGCAAAACAGAGAACACAATCAATGAGAGTTGGTCGCGTCACTTATAGTGCACCCCATACACATCCTGTGGGTGGTGTTGTAAAGTTAAAGAGGCACATAATAGCTCGTGATGATACTGTACACACATTATGACCCAGCTTATAAAATAAAATGTCAATAAATATACAGCAAGAAACAAAATATGGGTCTTCATTTTACATTAAATATGCCTTGTATTCCAGGTGTTATTTTGTACACATTCATCCATTTCCAATCAACACCTGCCATCCTGACCTCTGTGTTCATCGGGGTGGGCATCATCTTCTGTGGCTGTGCTATGATTCATAATGTTTTTATTTGGCAAAAGGTGAGTAAATAGTATATTTTACCCATGTTGATTTTGTGTACAATAATAGCCAGTAAAATTAATGCAATTCTGAAGTAGAGTATTTATTTACATTTATTAATACAGACTCTGCTACCAAATCACTGAGAGTTTATGGATAATTGGGGTAAACCTGTATTAACTGAACATGTTGTGGTTAGTAGAGGCGGAGAACAGGAAATGTTGACCAGACCACACACTAGAAGTTGAAGGGACGACGACATTTCGGTCCGTCCTGGACCATTCTCAAGTCGATTGAGAATGGTCCAGGACGGACCGAAACGTCGTCGTCCCTTCAACTTCTAGCGTGTGGTCTGGTCAACATACTTCAGCCACGTTATTGTGACTCATCGCCTGCACAGGAAATGTCTGTCCAGATAATGAGGAGGGGTGATGTTCACTGTTTATTTAAATTATAAAGGTTTGATTTGATTTGATTTTACAAAAATTACATGGAATTTTATGTACATAATTGCCATGGTGGCTTACAACTGGAAGGACCCAGATTCAGTTTCTGGGCAGAAAGAACTGTTCAGAGACGTTTCTTTACTCCTGATGCGTCTGTTTACCTAGCAAAACATGATCACCTTGGACTTAGGCAACTGTTGTGGGTTGCATTATATCCTGGGGAAGATCAATTTTTGGCATAGGTATATTGAGGTTCCTCTAGCAGGCTTCCTGTCCCTAACAATGGGAAACCATGACACTTGTTTCTGTAATTAGTGTGTAGCGAGTGTATTTGGTCAATAATATACTTGCTCCAAACTCTCATTAGCGATGGGTTTGTTAAGTCTACTTAATCCTCTAATAACAACTCATACCTTTTCCCTAATTACAGTTAACACTTTCCAACCTATTAGGTGAGGTGTGGTCCGATTATATAAGCAATCGAGAAGTGAATAATCATCTACAGATGCAACTGGGAGAGTGGTGAATTCAGAGTAAATGCATCTTCTGCCAAACAATCACAGAAAAGCCACTCCTTCACTATCTCCTGGAATGTGAAGCAACCAACAAACTTAGAAGAACTTCGGGAAGATTCAGGAACTTAAGAGTTCCTGAATCTTGCAGTAACCACCCTGAAGCCATCAACACTGCCACTCTTCTGGTCAAAAAAAGGTGTCCAGCAGTTGGACACCCTCATAAATACTGTCCAGCAGTATCCTCCCCCGCAATAGCAGCCTGACGATTAAATGAGACCTCAAACCACACAGTATACATTTATTAAACAAAAAATCTACCACTTATGGGCTATTCATGCCCATGCCACCTCTTGGGTGGCATAATCTTCATCAATCAATCAATCGAGTAATCTGTGTAATTTCAACAGTGATTCAGTTAACTTCAGTACAGACGCTTGAAAGTTAGTGCACTCTTCAACACCGACTCGCCATGCACTCGACTTGCCATCACACCATTGCTTGCCAAGTTTCACCTGCAAACTTCTGTATACTACATTCGTCCTAATACACATATTCTTTTAGTGTTTGTGTTTATTGTCACCATAATTGACATTACAATGGTGACCCCAGAGTGTGTCGGCAATACCCAGCCCCGACAGAATACAACATGGCCTCTCACTGGACCTCAGCCGCTACTGCTGCTGCCTGCTGTGGATTGCTGCCACGTTCCGTGGAATGCTGTTTGCAATTTCATGTCGGTTATGATTTTCATTGTGATAATCTCTGCATGTTCATCTACTACAGCTTGCTGCACCACGATCATCGCTTACTCATCAGACAGCCTCATCAGTAACTACATAATGCAGGATCTACAGCCTGTCTAGCTGACTCTCTGTTGCTGTCAGGGCACTACTGGTCCTACAGGAACTTCCGCAACAGCTGCTCTTTCATCAGATTCATCTACCACGTTCACTGTGTTCTGCCACTCTGCCGACTCTAGCACTTTCCTTGCGCAGTACAGGACCTACAGCTTGCGTTTCATTCTTCGTCGCCGCCAGGACAGTTCGGCTCTGACAGTGAATCCCTTGTTGTCCTGAATACGTGCCTACATTACCTCCTATAGTCCTGGTGCCCGAGCCCATCCGTCCCAGATCTAAATGCTCCACCAGAGACCCAGGATGCAATAACTGTACACATTCTTCTATCCTGCTACACCGAGCTTGTCCACATGCTCCCTGCATATTTTGGTACTGTACTACATTCTCCACAGCAACCCAGGGAATAGCCTCGTTATTTTTGCTGTATTTCATTTCTTTCATTCCCTGGAAGGGGGAGTTATGTAGCAAGTATATTTGGCCAATAATAAACTTGCTCCAAACTCTCATTAGCTTAATGAGATGGATTTGTTAAAGTCTACTTAATCCACTAATGACAAAACTCATACCTCTTCCCTAATTGAAGTTAACACACTTTCCAGCCAATTGAGGTGTGGTCCGATTATATAAGCAATCGAGAAGCGAGTAATCATCCAGCTATTGATACAGATAATGGCTCCAGAGAGCCTCCACTTATGGGCTCACCATAGGCTATGCTACTTGGAACTTTTTGTTCTGAGTAGCTAAATCTAAAACAACTAAAACAACAAGTAATCATCAGTATAATTTCCACAGTGGTTCAGTTAACTTCAGTACAAACGCTTGAGAGTTACCACATACCTTGAACCTCAAGAACGTAGCACTCGGTGTGCACAGTCCTACCGACTCCAAGAGACTTCAGCTTTGACACAGCAGACAGCGAGACTCCGGCCGCATCAAGCTTCCACGCTTTAGCCCCACCCGTTGAGCTCTTCGACTCCGCTTGCATTCAGAACGCCACGCTCTACGACTCTCACCCCGCATCTGAGCTCTCTACCCCGGCATTCACTCAGCTCTCTGCTATGCTCCAGGCTCCGTCTTAACTTCTATGACACTGCTAAACACCGACTGTTGTAACCAAGACTACTAAATAAATATCAAAACCACTAAACTCTGTGTATCTAATCAACCAAACAACGTAACATAATTGTATGTTACAAGTGCAATGATTAGCATTATGTTTTTTATCTATTCTTAATCACCATATAGAAAAGCATATTTGGTGAGATCTTTTATGAAATATTACAGAAAAAATTGGCCTGATGACTGCACTGACAAATAAAAAATAATCCTGTACTGATAGCATTCAGACTTGGTCATTTCATTTTCATGCACATGTGATTGATTTGCATATACATACGTACATTTTATATACTAGTATGTATGTATATATATATGTGTATATATATATATATATATATATATATATATATATATATATATATATATATATATATATATATATATATATATATACTATGAGTATCATTATAGATAAGCTTTTTATCATTGTTGCATATATATACAGTATGTATATGTTAATTGACTATCTATTCATATCTAGACATTGGCCTCCATAATTACATGGAAAGAAAAAAATTGTGACTTGGCAATATCACTTTCTATGTCTACATAAATTTGTTGTAGATTGTCCAGTTTTCTTTATATGATAACTACAGTACATGAATTAAACAACGTACAATATTTCTGATGGCATTAATTAGTGTGTTGAACACTGTTATTGATATTTTTTGAAGACAATGTTGATGTTTTATCAACAGCATTACTGTTTCATACCCCTGTAGAGTATAATAATATTTGTAAGTGTTACTACAGTACTGTATTGTATGGTCTCACAGTATTAATGTGGCTTTCTCTGCTTTACAGGAAAAAACTAAAGCAATGACACAGCAGAATATACAGCAAGCAGTCAGCCAAGAAGTTAGGCTTCGAGAGCTGAATGCTTCTCCTCTTCCTAATGCCACACTTGACCTCTCGGGCACCACACCACCACACGAGTTGTCTACGCTTGTATAGCACCACTGTGAATTTCTTTGTGGAATTCAGTTCACAAAGTACAAATAACTTGAATGATCATTATTGATCAATTATATCCAATAAAAAAATGGCAACGTTATGGTTTGTCGGAGTTAATGACTACATTGTGTTTGAATAAACATGGAAACTATAATAGTTTTACAAAACTGCATGAATATTAAAGCTTAACACTGAGGTGTTCCCAATATCCAAAGATAAAAATGCCCGTTTAACAGACAAATTGGAGTGCTCAATAGCTTGTAGCAAGTGCAACATTACTACAGACATACATGTACATTGCTGAAAATTTGTACTTGAACAAATATAATAATCCATTTTAGTATGATATGTTGGCTCTCCATACTGTGAAAAAGTGTTTTGGAAGCAGCCCTTTACCTAAATGTGTTGGAATGCATAAACAAATCTTAACAAGTGTTGTGAACACACCTTTGTGACATCCTACATTTTCCCTCTGGATAAGAAGACAAAGTGAAGTGTTTCAATAAGCCTATGTGATGCTACCACCCTAGAATTACCAATTATAACTCAGAAACTGAGTTATCAACACCAAAGTTTTGCATTTGTAACTGCCAGTTATTCATATCATTGTAGCTTTTTTTTTCACAAGGGAAGGAAAATGTCCAAAGTATGTACGAGTATCCACTGCTCTAAGCAGTTGGTATCATAGATCTCACATATTCCTTATAGATTCATGTATGACCACCAATTAAACAAAACAAGGACCATCTTTATCTCACACATACTGCCTGGTTCTCCTGAGTTGTATTTAGGAGACATTATCAGGCTGTAAAATCCATTCTTTACATTTGCCCTGTAATAATTATATTCTGTAATATATTTATGTTAATCTCACCTGACCTTTCGAACTCACTGTATGTATTATATTTATATATGTGTGTATATATCTGTTTATATATACAGTATACATACTTTTATCTATTTTTCTGAAAGACTGAGAGTAACATAAAAATATGAATGAACATGTCTTGTAGCAGTATGATAAACAGTAGTAGATGCTGTTTAGTACTGTTCTCTCTCAAAACACACCAAATCCAACAACATAATGATGATAATCATCTACAGCTATAGACAGAAAACCTGCTTGCACACACCAGGTATAGTCATATAAAATTTTTTACTTCAGATTGTACACACACACTGGCCAGTACACTAAAAATTGGCCTCTGCCAAATACTCGGTATCTTGAAAGTTGTGTACCTTAAATGTAGTGTATTGTTTAATTTACCACAATTGACAAAAAGATATCAATGCCTGTTCTGGTGCAGCATCAGGTTTAACATTACCTGGTTTGTCAATTTCTCTACCTTATGCAGCACCTCAGAACTTTCTTAGTACCTGATAATGAGGAAAATGCTCACTGAAAAACATATATTCTACTGTATTTGGTATTCTTCAGGCATTAAATTGAAGTACAAACTTAAAATATCTTATATCTCCCCACTGACTTCAGAGAGGAATGATCCTTCCCTTCTTCAAATATACAATTTGTAAGAAGACTTTAGCATTTATTGTTAGTTTTATATGAATACTGTATATAATTTATATGCATATTTATGAAAATGTAAATATTTATTCCAGAGCTTGTTTTCTTGTAATCCTTGTACTACTGACTTTCATTCTTCTGAGAGAGTTGTTCTGTCGCTCAGTCTATGCGGGCGTCGGAGCTCGGCGATTATTAAAATACATGAATCTTCATTAGAACTTTAATTATGTCTATGATAAAGTGTTTAAAATGAGCCTTATATTCCTATCTTTCTTGAGGCATATAAAAAATTTACGATTATTTACAAATTTACGTGAAATAAGCATTGTTCTGAGAGAGAGTTGCTCCGTCGATCGATCTGTCCGGAGTCGGAGCTCGGCTATTATAAAAGTACTGTACACGTATCTTCGCTTTAAATTTAAATATGCCCATGGTAAGGTATTTAGAACGAAGCTTATATATCTGTCTTTCTTGTGACATAAAACTCTTACGTTTATTAAGGAATCTGCGTGAAATAGGCATGGTTCTGAGATGAATGCTGCGGTTTTCGAGTTTGACGAGCGATGAAAACTGCCACTTTTATACAACTACAAATATCTTCGGTTTTACTTAAAATATTTGTCTGGTAGAGGTTTTACATATAGATCGCGTTTCTGTCTTTCTTCTGACTAATAAATAATTTTGGTTTAATCAGTTATCAAGATGTTTTCAACAATATTCTTTCAGCATTCGTCTTTTCCAACTTGGGCGACCCTTTTGGAAGCGCGATACTTGGGTTAACCCATCCTATAGTTGGGTCTGTTTCCAACTGGGGTTCGAATATATACACATCAGCCCGGTATAGCTCCGGGGAGCCAAAGGGGCTCTCCACAGAAAAAGTGGTTGCTTGTAAGCCACTATGATTTATAGTACTGTACATCATATTTGGGCCATTGAGGATTTTGACATTAAAATGCAATGTATTATTCAAAACGACAGGTTGGATTAACAACCCTTATTTGAAAAACTCGTATCTCACAGTTCATCAATGTCCAATTTGTCCTGGAAATATTACATCTCGGTGATTGTCAAGAGTATTTCATTCTCTTCAGGATTAAAAGATATTTCACTCATGCAGGCGATGAGTCACAATAATGTGGCTAAAGTATGTTGACCAGACCACACTCTAGAAGGTGAAGGGATGACGACATTTTGGTCTGTCCTGGACCATTCTCAGGTCGATTCTCAAAATCGACTTGAGAATGGTCCAGGACGGACCGAAACGTCGTCGCCCCTTCACCTAGTGTGTGGTCTGGACAACATATTTCACTCATGTTATGTCAGCTGCCCTATGTGTAAAACATGCTCGAGTAACATTTACTCAAAGTTTTCAAAGTTTATTCATTATGTCATCGTCATTTTCCCAGATTTGCCCTAAAGGTGTACCCATGTCTCGATTTGCCTTTGTATAGAATACTTCTCTCACATTAAGAGTGCCTCCCTAACAAAAATGTTTGATTCAATGTTTGATTTAACTGATGCAATTCGGTGGAAAACTACAAGTTTGATCAGGTGACATGACCTCACACCTCTAAACTACAATCATTGGCATCTTATCACAAAGTTCCATACTTTTCTTCTACAGCTAGTTATGTGATTTCAGTTCTCAACAACTGGCAAGTTGCATACACTTTCCAAGTACTGTATATACACAGATTTCAGAACACAGATTTTTCCTTGTTACTATGCCTGTTGATAAATACACATATTTACAAGAAAATGTTCAACTACTGTGTTCAGTGAGTGAAGTTGTGAAGGGCCCAATGGGTAAAACAAGTTGATACACTATGCTCGAGCAATGTTGAATCAATGTTGAGTCATTGCACACCAACAATATTTTCAAAGATTTACCTGGAGGTATATCACTTGATCAGTCAGGTTAAGCATTGTTTTATCTGACTATTAATTGGATGGGGTGACTTTATGGACAGTCTCGTCTATAACTAAAAGAAGTTCAGTAAGCCTGACAGACTTCCTGTTCTCAACAATGTTATACATGTACAATATACCAGTTAGCAAATTTGAGGGTAGGAGAAGAATAATGTCATGATGGGCAGATATGACAGTTGTACGGGGATATATGGATTGAGTGAACAGACATGAGAAGTTACAGCAATGGGGCCTCGACTTCCGATGCTAATCCGTTCCCAGAGACGGATCGGAAGTCGAAGCGAATTTTCCCATAAGAAATAAAGGGATTTGAATTAATCCGTTCCCCACCCTCCAAAATATTAACAAAAATACATTTTATACTGAATACAATGTTTTTTTTCTAACTACAATACAGTACCAAAGTTACTCTTACCTTTATGGAGGGCTCTTGATGGCGTATGAAAGATGGTGATGGGGGAGGAGGAGAGTTGTTACTGTTTGGAAGGGGAGTCCCCTTCCATTATCACATCAGGCAGTGATGTTTTCTCTGGGGTACTCTCTCTCTCTCCTATGTTTTGCCTGAATACCACTAGGACCTGGTTGTGGTTCAGTGCTTGTTTGTCTCACGACAAATTTGTCAAGAGACATTTGTTTTTCCCTTCATTTTAACATTTGTCTGTAATGATGCATCACTTTAGCACCCATAATGTCCTTTTTCTTAGCTAGTATGGTGGATATCGTTGATTGAGATTTGTTGTACTGCCTAGCCTGTCCAACAACCCGCACACCATCTTCATATTTATGAATGATCTCTTGTTTCTGCTCTATGGTCATCCTTACATGGGATCTCATATGTTGAGCCTTACCACTGACTTTCCTGGGACTCATGGCGTATTATATAATAATTACTTTAATGTTCAAAATGCAAAAAATCACCACAAAAGCGGAATTTCTTATAGGCGCGATCATCACTAAGCGGGCAGCTGTAGTAAACTGAGGCAGGTCGGACCGCTTGACTGGGAACCACGCGCTCGGCCGACCCGAACGTGTACCAACAAGTATCGGATGTCGATGACACCATCGAATGTCGAGTCGCATTTTTCGATGAAATTTATATCGTAACTCGAAATTATCGTAAGTAGGGGCAATCGTATGTCGAGGTGCCACTGTATATGGAAAAAGGCTTAATGGAAACAGATTGATAGTGTATGACATGTCAGTGATAATTCACAAGGAGCACCTTACACTGAGGTATAGTTTTGTAAACTGGTGTTCCTGTGTTTGGTTTGCTAAGGTGACACTGGGTTTCCACGATAGGTTCAAGTGTGGAAGGTATGGTGAATGAATATCATTTTAAATATCTTTAGCCTTCTTTCCTTATATTGATCTCCCGTCTTCTCCAGTTTGACACTAAAATTGCATACAGAAGGTGTATACAATTTTCCTTTGATCCAAATCCCATTTTAGTGAACTAACACTACATATTTGTATATACTCAATTGTTAAATTAACAGTTATTGTATCACAGGTAAGTAAATAACATTCAGTGCTAATTGCCTTGATGCATGATTAGTAAATACTTTAACAGCTGTTAAAAGGGAAAAGAAACTACAATATAACTTTAACCAAATAATGTACAATATCTATAATGATTACATCTAATGGAATGCATCATGCTACGTTCTGAATTAAAATTTAACACAAAAAAGTTCTCAATTTAAACAAAAATGTCACATACGAGATGCTTCAATAATCACGTAAATAAATGCATTTTACTTGCTTCAGTATATAATGAGATACAATTCTATTAAAGAACTTACAAAATACTAAGCTGATTATTGTACTAGGCCACAAAGTTATCGGTCAAATAATCTGCACTTACTGCTCGAGCTTCACAATAAAACAAGGTACTGTTAATGACTAATATAATAAGCTCAATAATACTGAGCGTTTACATTATTCTCTTTTGGAGGCAGCTTTTACTTTTTTGGCAATTTGCTCCTCCTTGAATGCCTGATACACATATGAAAATATAACAATTTGCACCATAATTATGGAAGAAACTGCTCCAAAAATATAATTTTTTGGATGTTCAATACCAAATTCTTTTTCAACAAAATCTTTAACTATATAATAAGAGAAAAATGGAAGGGTAAACATAGCAATACTATGAGCAAGGAGTTTTAAAAGGACATTGCCTGGGCTTGGAAGCTTAGGAGCCTGGCCATTTAAATGTATTGATGCAGATGGTAGGTTTTCAGCTTGTAAATTTTCTGATGCCTTTAGACAGCCTGCCATCTTGCCTTCAAATTAAACAGTTATGGAGGTGGGTGACTGCTCACAGTGTAACCTGGAAATACAAGTGTAATTTGAGAGAAAATATGAATATCTAAAATCAAACATTGAATATATAAAATTGAATATCTAAAATCGAACATTGAACACCTCTTCTGGTGGAGCCCTCCATAGCTCCCCAAAATTAGTGCTGGTCAAGCCAAGTCTTAAGAAATCACACCATGCCTCCAAGACCACCCCTGTCTATCAGGACCCAAATCCATAATCTGGCGCTCTCTAAAAGGCGAGAGGCACTTGGGGGATCAGAGATAAATCCAAAACCAAGAGAAAAACCTCACCAGAAAGCATAACACAACAAAACCAGGAAATGCTTGAAGAAAATTAACTGCCGGTTCCTGATGATAATGATGCAAACGATCGTTTCTATGATGCAAAAGAACTTGTGTTGCATGTGTTTGCCACCAGCAACAGTCCAGGTTATGAGATATCCCCACCAGCTTGTTCCTGGACTCCCTCACCTAGTTACAGCTTAAGCTACACAGAACCTCTGACAGGGAAAGGGCCCATCCTCAGTTTCACATTAAGTTAACATAGTTGGCACCACCAACACCACTTAAGGTGTTAGCTATTCTTGGAACTTTAGATTCTTCATGATTGTGTTTTGTCACAAATATTTTGCCAGTTTCTGTAGCAGGAACTGAAGCAAGTCTACTCAAGCCATAGCCAAGGAAACGATGAGATGATGAACAACTATACATTTGGGAGCGAATCAAGCAACAAACTGGGGTCTAGACGTGCACCCATAGGGAAGCAGAGGAGGCATCCAGCGCATACCAAGATGGAAGGTTAAAAAAATCCATGAGTACAGAACACCAAATCCTATGGACT